AGAGAGGAGAGAGTAGGAGTCAGTCCAGGGCAGAGGCAGGCTCGGAGTCCATGGAGACCCTCCCTGGGGCACCCCCTGCATCTGCAGGGTTCAAGCCCAGCACTGGCTCTGCAAGGATCCAGCCACTCATACTGTGCCCCTCCAGCATGGGGCATCTGTTGGTCTCCCTGAAGGTGGGCACCTGGACGGCCTTCCTGAGGGGTCTGAGCATCCCTGCAGGCATCAGTGATTCCCTCTGTCCCTTTCACCACTGGCCATGGCTGGGGCAAAGCAGCACCGTGTGGTTTGGTTCTGGACAGCTGAGGCACCACGAGGCCCAGCATGTCTGCAGGGGCCTCTCCTAGCCCCCTCTCTGCATGCTGAGGCTTCGCCTGTTGATCAGAAAGAGGCAGCAGAATCCAGAATGAGAGTGCAACGTGTCACCTACCAGCCCCAGCCCCTGGGGTCGGAGTGTGGACTCGGAGCTTCTGTCCAGCAGAGGTCCCTAATGTTCAGCTGCACCGGGACAGCCGGGCAGGGCGTCACCTGCAAGGTCAGCTGCAAGGCTGGGGCTGGGGTTTGTAATCGCTGTCGTCTCTTGGCCTGCAGGGTCCTTGCACGTGCCACTTTGGTCCTGATGGGCAGGACCCAGGTCTCTCATGAGACCAGTGTTTCCCCCCATGAGGCCTGGAGAGGAGCCTTCTGGCCCCTTCCAACAGGAAGGGAGCAGCAGGCCTGAGCTTTGTATATACACCAACTGCCAAACATTTCACCGTGAATTTCTTGAGACTTCTCTCTTTGGAAAGCTTCTGTTTGCATGTATTAGGCAATGGCATGCCAGCATGTCAGCTACAGCAGGAGACAGGGAACAAGCCACATCCAGTGTCCTCTGCAGCCGCTATGGAGTGCCAGGGGGAGTGAGGGGCAAACAGTAAGATCTTTATGATGTGAGAGAAGCCAGGTGTGGATCAGGGAAGTCGGTTTAATTGGTGTGAACAGGATCACTGAAAAATATTTTCTCATAGATAAAACTCTTTATATAAAAGTCTCTAGAATGGCGACAGGAAACCTGTAATCATGGTTTCAAGTGGGCAAGGAACTAGGGTCTGGGGTCAGGGAAGGAAGGGAAACTGTTCACTGTAAACAGCTTTTAGGACGTTTCCATTGGGATCGAAGGGTGGCTGACTCTGTGACTTTGACGTGAGAATCACTTCTACCTCAGGCACTTGAAAGACGGCACCAGCAAGAGCATCACTGAATCTTTCCTTTTCCTCCTGAAGACAGGAGAGAAACATGCCCCTGTGAAAGATGCCTTCCCGGTCGGGTGCAGTGGCTCACGCCTGTAATCCCAGCACTTTGGGAGACCGAGGCAGGTGGATCATGAGGTCAGGAGTTCAAGACCAGCCTGACCAATAGGGTGAAACTCTGTCTCTACTAAAAATACAAAAATTAGCCGAGCGCGGTGGCAGGTGCATGTAATCTCAGCTACTGAGATTCTCCTGAGGCACGAGAATCGCTTGAACCTGGGCAGCAGAGGTTGCAGTGAGCCGAGATCGCGTCATTGCACTCAAGCCTGGGTGACAGAGTGAGACTGTCTTTAAAAAAAAAAAAAAAAGGCCGGGCGCGGTGGCTCAAGCCTGTAATCCCAGCACTTTGGGAGGCCGAGACGGGTGGATCACAAGGTCAGGAGATCGAGACCATCCTGGCTAACACGGTGAAACCCCGTCTCTAGTGAAACCCCGTCTCTATTAAAAAATACAAAAACTAGCCGGGCGCCGTGGGCGGGCGCCTGTAGTCCCAGCTACTCGGGAGGCTGAGGCAGGAGAATGGCGCAACCCGGGAGGTGGAGCTTGCCGTGAGCTGAGATCCGGCCACTGCACTCCAGCCTGGGCGATGAGCAAGACTCCGTCTCAAAAAAAAAAAAAAAAAAAAAAAGGAAAAGAAAGATGCCTTTTCTGTACTGGGCAAAGAAATATTCCTTTACAAGGAAGCACATCATAGCCGACAGAATTCTGTACAGACATTGAAGTAATTAAAGTAATTCCTGTTGTTCTTAAGCCTCCCCACACGGTTTACTTTTCCACAACTGCCTCTTTGTTCAACCTCCTGCAAAAACACATAGGTCTCGTCACTTCTCTGGGTCTTTGCTTCCTTAGGAGGGTTCTGTGTCACATGAAGGTGACATTAAATTTGTATACATTTCTCCTGTTAATCCATCTGATTTCAACTTAGTTCCCAGGCCCAGCCAGGACCCTAAGAGGAGGAAGTGGATATTTCCCTCCCCTACAGTATCATACACATGTTGCTTTTTTTAAAAAGAAAATCTGGGGCCAGATGCAGTGGCTCACGCCTGTCATCTCAGCATTTTGGGAGGCTGAAGTGGGAGGACTGCTTGAGCCCAGGAGTTTAAGACCAGCCTGGGCAACGTAGGGAGATTGTCTCTGCAAATAATAATAATAATAATAATAAGTAAATAAATAAATTAGCCAGGTGTGGTGGCACATGCCTGTGTTCCCAGCTATTCAGGAGGCTGAGGTGGGAGGATCGCTTGAGCCCAGGAGGTCACCGTTAGTGAGCTATGATTGCACCACTGTTCCAGCCTGGGCAACAGAGTGAGACCCTGTCTCTTAAAAAATTTTTTTAAAATTAATTAGTTACCTGATTAACACAGTTCCTTACTGGTGAGGGATTTTCTACTGTGGTATTTCCGCAGCGCCACCCCATACATGAATGGCTTCTTTTGAAGCTTCCACCTTTGTATAGGTGAGTCTTTGTCTCTGTCTTACCCTGCTTTGTGCTGCTATAACAGAATACCACAGACTAGGTAATTTACATAATGAACAGAAATGTATTGGCTCATGGTTCTGGAGACTGGGAAGTCCAAGACTGAAGGGCTGACAACTGGCAAGGCCCTTCTTGCTGTGTCATCCCATGGTGGAATAGCAAAGAGAGGGCAAGAGCATGCCAAAAGGGGGACAGACTAGTCCTTTTATAAAAAATACTTTAATAACAAACCCACTCCCATGATAACATTAACCCATTCCTGACGGTGGAGTCCTCGTGGCCTAATCACCTCTTAAAGGTGCTACATCTTAATACTGGTATGACGGCAATTAAATTTCAACATGAGTTTCAGAGGGGACCAGCATTCAAACCATAGCAGTCTCAAATACTGGGCTGGCCGTGGAAGAGGAGGCTGATCTTTAAATCACATAGATTTTTTCTTTTTTTTTTTTTGAGACGGAGTTTTGCTCTTGTTGCCCAGGCTAGAGTGCAATGTGCAATCTCAGGTCACTGCAATCTCTGCCTTCCGGGTTCAAGTGACTCTCCTGCCTCAGCCTCCAAGTAGCTGGGATTACAGGCATGCGCCACCACACCTGCCTAATTTTGCATTTTTAATACAGACAGGGTTTCTCCACATTGGTCAGGCTGGTCTCAGACTCCCGACCTCAGGTGATCCGCCCGCCTCGGCCTCCCAAAGTGCTGGGATTACAGGCGTGAGCCACCATGCCTGGCCAGAATGTTCTTTAAAAACAGGGACAATCCCATGAAGTAAATTCACATTGGAATAGTTAACAGGTAAAGTGATGCAGGTGGCTAAAACAATAGACATTCACTGGCATCCAAAGTACATAAAGATGAGTACTTTGAGATCGTGCCACTGCACTCCAGCCCGGGCGACAGAGTGAGACTGTCTCACAGAAAAAAAACAAAAAAAAGATAAGCACTTTCACCTCAAGAGTTGCTGGGCTCAGATGCTGAAGGCACCCTGATGGAAATCTAAAGGCACCAGCCTCTGGTGTTTTCATCTCTGGAGTTTTCACAGCCAACAGCACTCCTAGGTAGACTGGCTGTGAATACATCCAGTTGGAGGGTAAAAAGAACGACTTGTGAATGCTCCATAGGTGTTCGAATATGAAGTCATAGACACGACTTCAAGCCAGTTGCACAGCCTTGAATATATCCTAGTCTATTATCTTGGGCTGCGAGTGGCTTGTACGGTCATCTGTCCATCTCTCAGTTGGGCGAGAAACTTGAGGTCCTTTCTGAGAGGTGGCCCTGGCTCTGCCTGGGACCTGCTATTTTGTATGGGTGGGTTTTCACTGTGGGTCCTGGGCAGGCAAGTGCTGGTGCCCAGTGTTGGGGAGCAGGGTAGAGGTGTGGCCACTACCTGGCTGGGCCCGGACTTGGCAGCCTTCCTTCATGGCCCCCAACCACAGCCCGTTCCATAGTTTGTTCTTGATGTGTCAGCTTTGTGTCCCCGTGAGAACAATGGGCTCCTTGAGGACAGGCATTGCATCTTCGGGTCTGTTCCCTAATGCACCCCATGGCGCCCAGCATAGACAGCAGGGGGTGCAAGCAGTGAGACAAGCAGGGCTCCCATTACCAGCACGGGACCCAGCCCGTTACCTGGATGCTATGTTTCCCATGTAAACTGAGCAATTCCCAATTCTAAGGAACTCTTCTGAGGACTAAATTGAATAGTGTAAAAAATAAATCGACATGAAGTGAAGGTCAATCAAAATGGACTAGCTTGGCCAGGCGCAGTGTGGCTCATGCTCTCAATCCCAGCGCTTTGGGGGCCGAGGAGGGAGGACCGCTGAAGTCCAGGAGTTCAAGACCAGTCTGGGCTACACAGCAAGATCCTGGCTCTAGCAAAACATTAATAAAACTTAGCCGGGCGTGGCGGTGCCCACCGGTGGTCCCACCTTCTCGAGAGGCTGAGGCGGGAGGATCGCTCGAGTTCTGGAGGTCGAGGCTGCAGTGAGTCGATTTCGCGCCATTGCGCTCCAGCCTGGGCGACAGCGGGAGACTCCTTCTCAAACACAGAACTTTAAAAAGGCCAGTTCGACTGCCGCGGGGGTCGCGTCCTCTCCATCCCCGACCTCGGACCCACCCCCCTAGGTACCCCACGATCCAGACAGAAACTCACTGTTTCTCGTGCTCCGCGCCATCTCCGTCCTCAGAGCGCTGCAACCCTACACCCCCGACCCTGCGCCCGCCCAAGGTGCTTCCGGGTACTTCCGGCGCCCGCGCGGATCCCGGCAGCCGCCGCTCCTGTTTCCGTCGGACGGCGAGAGCGCAGGACCAGCTTCCGGGAGGCGGTCCGCGCGTTCGCGGATCTCTGCAGGGAAGATGGGGAAAGTGAGGGGGCTGCGCGCCAGAGTGCACCAGGCTGCCGTGAGGCCCAAGGGGGAGGCCGCCCCGGGCCCCGCGCCCCCTGCTCCGGAGGCTGCCCCTCCGCCGGCCTCGGCCGCGGGGAAGGTGAGTGGGGGAGGCGCGGGCCGGCGGCCGCCGCGTGGGTCCGAGGGCGGGTGAGCTGCGGGGCTTCGCCTCCGGCAGGGGTCCGCGACCCGGGCCTACTCTCGGGCTCTGCGGGCGTTTGCTGCGCGACAGAGGCGACCTTCTTGCTTCGCGAAGCGTCGCGAACTCCGAGGCTCCGCTCTGCGCTGCAGTCCTGGGCACACGGACTCGCGCCGCTCCCGGGGTGGGGAGAGAACCGGGAACCTCCCGCTGCGGTCCAGGGTTGCCACGCGGACCCCAGAGGTTCCTGAATCGCACTGAGCTCCCAGGAAAGGAAGGGACGTTCCCAGGGTTAGAGAAGGACGGAGAGCAAACTCCAGAGAGACCCCGTTCCCTTTAGCAGTCGGCTGCCTGTTTCCCCGTCCCACTCAGCCCTAGGCAAGCACGAATCTACCTTCTGTCTTTGTTCCAGACACTGCACGTGAAAGGAATTACTGCTTTCAGGATTTTTTTTTTTCTTAACTTTTGCCTTAAATATTTTGACCGATGTGTCTTAGTGTAGATCTCTTTATATTTCTTTTGCGTGGAGTTTACTGAGCTTCTTGCATGTGTACGTTAATGTTTTTCGTTACATTGGCAAGTTTTCAACCATTATTTCTTTGAGAATTTTTTCTGCCCTTTTCTGTCACTCCTCTCTTTCAGATACTTCCATTATAAATATGTACGTCGTGCTTGATGGTGTCCCACAGTCCTCTAAGGCGCTGTTCATTCAGTTTTTCTCTTTTCTTCAGATGGCATAATCTCTCTCTTAATTCAAGTTTGCATGTTCTCCCAGCCCAGAGCTACTTTTGAACCCCTCTAGTGACATTTTTCATTTTTTTTTGACCCCAGAGTTTACTTTATTTCTCTCCTCCTGTTCCTCCTCCTTTTAAAAATAATTTCTCTTTGCTGATGTTTTCTTTTTGATGTGAGAATGTCATTATACCTTTTTTTAGTTCTTTAGACAATGGTCTCTTTTAGTGCTTGGAAATATTTATAATGGCTACTCTGAATTGTCTACGTGTGGGCTCCTCAAAGCAGTTTCTGTTGCCTGGCTCATGCTTTCCTAGTTCTTTGAATGTATCACTTTTTGTGGAAAATTGGGCGTTTTGGATAGTCTTGTAGCAACCAGGGATTAGTATTTGCTTGATTACTTTGTTTATTGATCTGGCACTGAGCTATGTGACCTCTCTCCTTGTCCCCTTCCAGCTGTGTGTAGCCTCTGATGTGCCCTCTTGTTGTTGTTGTTGTTGTTTTTCTCCTTCCTCAGTTTATCTTTTAGCCTGGCTACTTGGATCTGCTTAAGCTCCTTACTGGTCAGCAATTGTTCTTAACACCTCCTTGGCCAGTGGGTTTTTGCCCTTTACCACTGGATACCTCTGGCTTGGAGGGGCTGTCAGGTTCAGCGTGTTCATATTTTTGACCTCCCTTCTGCCCTCAGAGAGGCACAGCCAAGGACTAGTAGCTTACGGAGTCCCTCTGCTCACTCCTGGGAGGGCGCATCGGTGAACACGCGCACAGCCTCCAGACTGCCAGGGATGCGACTTCCTGGGAGTTGCTCCTGGGTCAGAGGGGCTTACCATCTACCCAGGAGCCTTGGGCACCCTGGCCTCTGCACCCGTCACCACCCAGAGCTCCTTCCTGGTCAACAACACCCTTAGGCGTGAGGGCCCTCACACGAGCTGCAGACAAAGTGAGTCCCTCTGGCAGAGCTGTGGAGTTCTTCCTTTTTGCGGTCCACCTCTCCTGGGCAGGAGCTCCATGTCCGGACACCAGAGATGGGGCAGGAGCAGCTTCAGCTTCTCAGGTGACATCTCTCTCTACTAGCAGGAGAGGGGTGTGCCCCTAGTTGTCTTGGCTCATTGAAACCTGTGCCGTGCTGGTGGCTGAGGTGGGGCTGATCGGGACGCAGTGTTCTGATGTCCCTGCCTGGGGTGGAAATTAGAAAACAGAATTATCAGACAGAAACTAAAAAACAAGTGTGTCTGAAAATGTGGAAGACATAATTCAGGAATCATAGAAAGGAACAAAGAGCCGTTCAAAAGACTTGGCAAATTTGAAGATAAAAGCAACAGATAGAACTTGTATATATGGAAAATAGAGTCATTGAACTTGAATATGGAATAGACAGGTAAAAAGGATTTCTAGTGTCTAATCAGACAATGACATTGTAATCTTTGAAAGACATTCAAATGATGTAACAGCGTTTTTTATATTAAGCTCCAGAAATATGCGTTAATGAGGTATAAAGTGCCACCATGGAGAATGTCCCGGGTACGGTGGGAAAAGCAGTCGTATACCATATACCAGCATACATTCATGATCTGGAAGGCTGCATGCTCCACCCCTTGTCCCCACCTGGGCCTTGTTTGCCTGTGAGGCCTCAGCCTACCTGTGCTGCCTCAGCCACCTGCCCACCCATTTGAAGGCTGCCCTGGTCTCCAGCACTGTTGCCTTTTGAGTCTGATATTTTCCCATGTACCGACTTTTCTGTCCCTGCCACATGATCCCCCCAAGACCAAGGGCTTTTCCCTCAGGTGCTGTGGGTGAGGGCGCCTGGGAGCTGCAGTCCAGCCCGGCACCTCTTGGTACCCTAGCTGCCTTCTGCCTCACCTGCACCCTGTCTCATCTGTAATGTGAGGGAGGCCACATTTTACCTCTACCTTCAGGGTTTTCAGGTTGGGCCTGAGACTTAGACTCACGTAAAACAGATAAACAGGAGCAGAGCATACACATTCGTTCAAGTTTTATGTGACATGGGAGCCTCATAAGGAAATGAAGACAAGGAAGTGGGAGAACTTTGTGCTTCTGTGAGAGGGTGAGAGGTTGAATGGAGGTGGTTGTGGGAAACTAAACCACTCGGGGAGGCAGGCTGCAGGAGGGGAGGGGTTGTGTTCACCAGGTGTGTCTGTATAGAGTGCTTTTGGCTCCTCTCATCCGTCCCCGATGATAAGAATGTCGCTTTCCTTCTGGTGTAGGAGGGCATCTTCCATGTGGGGATTTTATCTTCTTTCAGGAAAAACAGGGAGGGGGTTAATGTGCCCTCTTGGTACCTGCTATATTTTTAAGTGCCTTTAGCTCAAAATAATTCTTTTGCCAAAGTGACATGTTTTGGGGTGGCGTATTCTGACACCCTTCAGAAACCTCTGTTGAGGTCATTGCTGCCTTCCCTGCCAAGGTCAGTGAGGCTTACACGTGAATGGGCCAGGCAGCACGGGGGTCAGGGACTGGGGGTTCTGTCTTCTCGCAGTGTGGTCGACAGCTGACTTGGAGGAGCTGAAATCTTCATGTAGGGATGAGTGTGGCTCAGAAACAGACCTGGCAGAGAGGCCGCGGAGATGACTGGTTCTGATGGGGTGTGGTCATTCTGAGCTGAAGGGGCTGGCAGACTGGGAGCTGCCTATCCTTCATCTGCTCAGCTGCGGGTTTCTTCTGCGACACAGGAGGATGTTGTAGAAAGAGTAAGACGAAACGGTTGGGCAAGAAATTTGGTTCTTGAGATACTGGTCCTGACTCCTGAAGCCCGTCTGGTGATTTCAGGCAGGGAGCAGGTGGGCATGGGCGCTGCGGGTCTGCCCTGGAGCTCTGGGGCCAGAGGCTCCTGCTCTGGGAGGTGAGGGCTGTTTCCCCCAGGTCTTCCCAGGCAGAGAAGCTGGGGAATCCGGGTTCTTGTCCTCCGTCTTCTCCTCACCTTTAACTTCCCTCTGGAACCACAGAGCAAGTCTCACACCGTTTTTTTCCTTCCTTTTTTGTTGGGGACATTAGGACTGGGCGTTCATCAACACCAACATCTTTGCCAGGACCAAGATAGACGCCAGCGCCTTGGTGCAGAAGCTGGAGCTGGACGTGAGGAGTGTCACTTCCGTCAGGAGAGGTGAGCAGTCTTGAGTGCATGGGTTGCCATGCTGATGCCCAGCAGATCTGGGATCACTCACTCACACACCCGAGGTCTCAGCAGCTTTCTAGCTAACCTGTACCTGACAATGTCCTTGAGCAAGGGATACCCCTGGCTGTTTGTTGGGGCGATTCTCCAGAGTAGATTGCAGCGGTGGTTTTGTCCCTGGGCTGCATCTTGTCCCCCCAGCTACGCAGGGACTGCCCTGCATCCTGGCAGCAGCGCTAAAGCCACAGGAACTTGGGCTTCTGTGGTGACCAACAGGGTTTGAACTCTTTTCTCCATGTGTGCTGATTCTCTCATGGTCTGTCTTTATGTTTGGGGCAGTTTTGATCCCTTTTCTTAAACAAGTGCTTTATGTGTTGCAGAGGTTAGCTGTTTATCATTTTGTACAAATAACTTGTTAGGGTTTAGATCCTGAAGCCCAAGTGGGGTCCTGTCAGTTTCATCAGAGCCACGCGCAGCCCTTCCCTGTCGCCTGGTTGTGCTCCTTGCAGCCCTGCAGCACACACGTCAGCCTGCCCAGGGAGAGGCCCAGGAATTCGCACTCACTCCAGTGTCTGGAGCTTAGCAGGGAATGCAGTCCCCTGCACCTCCTACTGAGCCTGAGGTGTTCTAGAGAGTTCCAGGCCTCCATGCTCAACGCCGAGAGTGTTGACTTTCTGGCTGGAGGATGGTGACACAGTGTCACTCCCAGGGATAAATCCAGGAAAGAGCTTCCTTCATTCATCTAAGGGAGTCCATGAGGGGCACAAGGAATACTTTTTACATCTTGACAGCCTCAGAGAGCCATGGGTTGGGGAGGGAGAGGGCCTGGCTGTGGGTGCAGAGCTCGACTTTTTATATCTTGACGGCCTCGGAGAGCCATGGGTTGGGCAGGGAGAGGGCCTGGCTGTGGGTGCAGAGCTCGACTTTTTATATCTTGACGGCCTCGGAGAGCCATGGGTTGGGGAGGGAGAGGGCCTGGCTGTGGGTGCAGAGCTGGGGACACCAGTGTGACAGTGAAGACTGCACTTGACTTCACAGTCTGCAGAGCTGGGAGTGCCAGGACAGGGCACGAGCCAGGTCTGGGGCCTGTAGGCAGCCCCTTGAGAGCGTGGCTCTGGGCCTCTGCTCCTCACCGCCTGGTAGCCTCTGGCTGCACACTTGATCACTCTGGGCCTGGGTTTTGCATCTGTCAAAGGTGGTAACAATATTTATCTCCTAAGTTCTGGCAGTTTTGAGGTTGAGATGAGTTAGTTGGTGTGAAACGTTTAAAACAGTGCAGTGAAGGCCTTGGAGGTGTCCGCTCCGCATCTGTTGAATGAGGCTGGTCTGGCGGCAAGGCTGGGGATGAGTGGGTTCTGCAGTGCCCAGAGGTGGCCAGCCTTAATTCCTTGGGCGCGTCGTGTGATTGTGGTTGCTCTCTGACCTTTAGCTCCATTGTCCACAAAGCGGCGACAGACGTAGCTCATGGGTGCTGAGGGCTTCACTGTGCCTCTAGAAAGATCCAGGTACATTTAGCCAGTGCTGGTTTCCTGCGCCTTCTCTCCGAGGAGGACCTGGTGAGGTGACCAGGCCAGGTAACTCCACAGAGAAGCTGTGCCTTCCAGCCAGAAGCCTCCATGTTGTGGGTAGTCCACCCGAGCTGTGTGCTCCCTGATTGCCGATGAGGCCACTGAGGCTGTCCCCAAGGGGAGGGGAATCATGGGTCTCACTGACCTGGCTCTGGCGTGAGCTTCTCAGAGAAAGCTTCTGTTTCACACAGCGGCCTCTTTCCTCTGCCTTTTCTTGGCCCTCTCCCTTCAACCCCTGTGACTCATCTGGTCCCCAAGGCCACCTGCTGCACTGACCCTCACGTCCCCTCTTCCCCTCCTAATTGAGGGAGGCATCACGCTCACAACCCCTCTTGCCTACCAGGGAAACTCCTCATTAGCAGCATCTGGCCTCGCAGTGTTCTTGGGCTGAGGTCATGCCCAGCAGCCCTGTGGCCTCTCCTTTGAGCCATCCTGGATCTTCTGGTTTTGTTTGTTTGTTTTGAGACGGAGTTTTGCTCTGTCACCAGGCTGGAGTGCAGTGGCGTGATCTTGGCTCACTGCAACCTCCGCCTGCTGGGTTCAAGTGATTCCCCTGCCTCAGCCTCCCGAGTAGCTGGGACTACAGGCACATGCCACCACGCCCAGCTGATTTTTGTATTTTTAGTAGAGATGGGGTTGCACCACGTTGGCTGGGATGATCTCGATCTCTTGACCTCGTGATCTGCCCGCCTTGGCCTCTAGGTGCTGGGATTACAGGCATGAGCCACCACGCCTGGCCAGGTCTTTGTTTTCTGTAAGCTCAAACCTCATTAATTTAGAGTAACTGGTGGGAGAGGGTAGAAGCTTGAACTTCATGGTGTCAAAGATTGATTTCAAATTTCAGAACCACCTTATGAGAGAGCATAGAAATGTTTTCTTGAAGTAATTGAACCATAAGTTGAAAAAATTTGAAGATTCTGTTGATTGCGAGTTCATTGGGTAATTGATTTTTTTCTTAATTCATATACCCTTATTTGTGCATAAAAACCTTAAAGCTTGTGCCGACCGGACTGTAGCGTGGCCCATTCTGGTGCTCCCCAGCCCTGAGCTCGTGCTGTTTGGACTGTAGCTTGGTCCATGCTGGCGCTTCCTGCTTGTGTGCAGTGTTTCCCATAGCTCTCCTGGAGGGGCACAAGGATGGGAATTATTTGAGCTGTGTGGCAGGGTCAGGGTTTTGGGTGTTGGGGCCTTGGCCTGGGGATGCACTTAGTGGCTCTGGCCAGGAGCCGGTGGTTTCGTGCACTGCCCATGGCTGTGATTTCTGCCTCGGTGCCCCAGGGGGATTCAGGAGAAGGTGCTCCAAAATGGTCCCTTGGAGGTTGTCCCTGAGGTGCGTTCCAGGTGGCCATCCTGTGGAGGGGGGTGTTCTGAGCTCATCGCCGCGGGCCCCCATCACAGCCTTCCTGGAGCGAGGCCTCTGGCCAGCCATCTTTGTCTGTGGCTCTCGGCCCAGGGTTCTGGTGCATGTTCTTTCCACCGCCTGCTGTGCGTTCTCTGCACTGAAGAGTCCTGGGCTGGATGAAGGGGACCATTGGACCTCACAGAGGGCTCAGACGGAGGGACAAGCCTCCACTTCCCCTGGGATGTGAAGCGCCAGGTTGGCAGGGTGGCAGGGGTGCCTGGCCCCATGGGTGGGGCCCGCAGACCCTCAGAGGAGCAGCCCCACAGGTGGAGGGGCTTGCCCTGGTCTGGGGGCCCCAGCCCCTTTTCTTCGGGCTTCTGAGGTATCCAGGCGCCTCACTGGGCTCCTTTGCATCTTGGCTGCTCCTCACTATGTTCCTCCCTCTCTCCTGGAACAGTTCTGTTTTTTTGGCGTGGTCTCCTCAGCTCCTCATTGGCTGGTGCCCTGGGTCCCTACCGCCGCCCCCCAACCCCACCCTGGGCTTGTGCTGGGGCCTGAGCCCAGGGCAGGCCCATGTCGTGCAGATACTGCATCCTGTGACTTGGCCGCCACCCCTCAGTGACCCGCCTGGCTATGGAGGTGAGGTGGCGTCCTGTGGGTGCCTGTCTGTCTGGATTAGTGCAACACCAACTTCCCAAGATGTGTCTCATCGTCCTTGCCCTGGCCTGAGTCGGAAATAGCACTGCATGCCGCATCTCTGGCCAAGGAGCCGGGTGGCCCAGGGGAGGGGTCTAGGCTGTGGCCCATCACTTGGTGGACATCCATGTGCCCACCTGCGCCCCTCCTCTATGTTTTTTTGAAATTGGGATCCCAGCTTGCCCGGAAGCCATATCTGCCCCCAGTTCCCTTCCTATGCCCTGGGGCCTGCCTTACCGTTACAGGTGGGCCCTGCATCCTGGGAGGGACCCTCTGAGCTCTGCAGCCTCCTGCCATGAGAGGAGGAGGGCATGGGTGCAAAGCTGAGGCTGGCCCAGAGTCCCCTCCCGCCCCAGCTCTCTAAGACCCTCTGCACCTCCCCAGCAGGACTCCGCTTTGCCTGGGGGCCGGGTTGTGCAGGCAGGGGCTTTGTGGCAGCCCGTGGACCCCATATCGAGGCTACAGCTCCTCCGTGTCTGCTTTGGGGGTGGCGAGGGGCCTGTGGCAGAGCTGGGGTGAGCCCCCGTCTCCTGAGCCTCCCCCCACACAGTGCCACCTGCTGTGCGTGCTGTGCAGCCCACTCTAGCTGGCGCAGTGAGCTTGTGCAACACCAGAGCCTGGCAACCGGCCGGGTGTCCAGTGGTGGCTGCATCCTCCAGCCTTGGGCATGGCGCCAATCCTTGGCATCAGGCAGTCTGGGGAGCTGGTTGTGCCGCCTTGGACACAGTGCCAATCCTTGGCATCGGGTGGTCCGGGGGAGCTGGTCATGCAGCATCATGTGGTCCAGGGAGCTTGTCGTGGAGCACGCTTAGAATTCGATTTCTAGTTCTGTGTTCCTTCGTACCAGAAAATGAACCCACCTGTTTTCAGACAGGCACTCGGGATTCAAGCCCAGACACACAGGCAGGGTGGGGCGAGGCCTGGTGTGGACTCAGAGCCAGGTGGGGCTGGGGGCCCCTGGAGCAGAGGGTGGAGGGGGGCCTGTCACCATTGCTGGAGAGGGAGCTCACAGCACGGTGGATGGCTTGGGGGCGTGGGGGCCATGAGAGGCACCGGTGGGGTTACAGGATTTTGGAGGTGTTGCTTTTCTGGCCAGATACCTGTGGCCGGTGGCACCTTTGCTTGAGTTTTGCTCAGGGCTGCTGGGCTCGTTTCACCCACTTGGCCTGGCAGGCTGTGCTAAGCTCGTGCTACTGGCCTGGATTCCATGGCTCCAAGGGAGACTGGAGTCAGGCGTGGAGTGGCAAAGGGTGTGTGTGAGCAAGCATAGGGTCCAGCTGTTGCAGGCCAGCGCCAAGCCACCCTCAGCCCCTGCCTTGGCTTCCTCCCAGAGCTTGTTGGTGCCCAAGGTCCAGAGGAGCCCGAGGTGGCAGGGCCTGGGTGTG